GGAAGGAGCGGTATCCGCCGGCTTTGAAGGATGCCCCCGCCGCCTTGACGAGTTTCACGGTGAGTGGGGCAGGTGGCATGTCCCAGGAATTCGCAATCTGGCACCAAGTCTTCCAGCGTGCTAATCTGGGGTCTCGGCTGGAGGGTGCGTATGTCTCGTCTTCTAGGAGTTGTAGGGCCTGCTCGCGTGAGGTAGGCGCTCCCGCCGCAATGGCTCTGTTGAGGGAGCCGTGTCGTGTGGTGTGATATGGTTGGATGTCGCGCCGGACCGGGGGCATGTAGTCAAGGACCAGTTGGTCGTCGCCCAGGAGTCGATTGATCAGGTCGTGTGGCACGCCGATCCGCACCAATGCAGCCCGGTCCATGTTGCGGAATGTCGCCAAGTCGTCTATTCCGGCTAGGGCAACGAGCGGGGCGATCGCCAGCAAGGACCGCTGTTGTAGCCATGCTCGAATGTCACGGAACGTCATCTCGGGGTGATCTGTATCAAGGGCCGAGAGGGGCCAAAAATGGCTATGTAAAATGTATCAAAGGTTTGCCACACGTGGAGACAAAAGCACAATGCAAACAATCAAGGTGAGCGAAAGTTCGGGGGGATTTAGGGGTGTTTGGCTTCAAACACATGGTGCGCCTTTTGCTCTTTGCACGGGTGTCCTGACGTACTGCCAAACGAGGTTGCACTTCGGCGGCAGGTTCAGGAAGATGGGTCGTGCGAAGGCAACCGCGTTGGTCGGACCCTCCGGGCTCGCGCGGGACACGGACGCCCTTCGGGTCGTAGTGGTTGCGGTGCTGGTCGAGGTCCGTCACAGGGCGCTCAAGTGGTTGAGACGGTCCGCCCCCTCGAGGTCTTGGCAGGTCCAGAGCTTGAGGCGGCAAAAGCACAGCCCCATCACTCTGGCGAGGTCCGAGGACTCAAGGATGCGGGTGGAACTGGGGTCGTAGCGATAGCGCCGCATGTCGTAGAAGGGCGTGGCGGGTTGGTGGCGTTGTCGCTTCTGGCTGGGGAGCAGGTCGACTCGGAGTGGCTTGATGCGTCCCAGGTTGCGCTGGGCGACTTGCTCCAGCTTCTCTTGGGTCCAGAAGGTCCTGTGCATGTATGGCAGTTTCTGAGCCGTCTGCATGTTGTTCATGATCATGTCGGCCAGATAGGCGCGGGGGTCCTTGGCTTGTCGCAGGTCGGATGCGATCTCGTTGATGTGGACCTTCATCTGTTGGATGAGCTTGCCGGTCGTGTCCTCCTCCCAGCGAAGAAGGTAGAGCATGTAGCGCCGGTCGTCGTCGCCGGTGATGGCCTCTGCCAATTGGTCCGTCTCGTGTGCTCCAGCGGTGGCGCGTACCACGAGGCACTTCTGGGCCGGCACGAAGCGTTCTGTGTCGTCTTGGCCGGCTGCGGTCAGGGCCTCCCCTCGGGATGCGGCTTTGGCGTCACTGTAGGTTTTCCAGGGGTGGTATTGCTGGAGGCACTCGGGACAGAAGAACTGGCCGTGCTCGGTGATGTTGGCGGTGGCGCGCAGCCAATGTGACGAATGTACCACCGCTTTGCACGACTGACGTCGGCAGATAAAGTGCTCGTCGGTGGACGGGAGGACGCGGGTGATGAAATCGGTGAGGTGTGTGGGATAGTCGTCAGAGTCCAAGAACTCAAGGAGGGTCCCGGTGCTGTTTGCGCGCAATGCCTCGGTGAGGTGCTGCCTCTCCCATTTGTGGAACATGAGGAATAGGTCTCGTCGGTCCTCGGGTGCCAGGTTGATGAGGTCGAGGCACATGGTTTCGGCGAGGAACTTGGAGTGGTCGCTGATGAGGCGGCGCAGGTGGTTGTTGGAGGTTCCGGGGTGGATCTCGCGCAAGGAGTCCATCATGTCCATGTGGGTGTTCGTGCGGATGGTGCCGACGGCCTTGTTGGTCATGTAGTCCAAGCGGCGTCGCCATGCTCGTCGGCACAGCTTGCTGAACACCTCGAGGGTGAATGGCCGGCGGTTCTTCACGTCGAGGGCTGGTACCCTGATCCAGCGGCGGTTGACCTGGTCCCACCTGTGCACGGTGATGTAGGCGTCGTGAGCGTCGTCCGTCTCTGGCACCGCAATCTGTAAGGTCGGTGGGGCGATGGTATGGTCGCTGATCATGGCCGCGAGGTCGGGGTGCTCTGCGATGGTGTTGTACGGTGCGTGTTCTGCAATCAGGGAGTTCGGGTCGGCCAGGAGCTCCTCGAACTGGAACCACGGCACGCTACTGGTGTCGCAGGTAGCGCACCCGTAGCACGCCCCGACCCACTTGTTTCGCCAGTCGGTTTCCTCTGAGAAGCAGAGGGGCATGATGTACTGGGATTGGTATGGGATCTGGCAGAACGAGCACTGCAGTGTGGCTGGTGTTGGATTCAGGTTGTGCCAGTCCAGCAGCAGGTAGCGTGTCCGCGTGTCCGGCTCGGTGTTGGTCGACTCCATGAAGAGGTCGATCGCGTCCGTGGTGGAGAGGCGGGGATTCTCGGTGCGGAAGGTCTGGAACCTCGAGAGGACGCCGGTGTTGTAGGACCGCAGGAGGAGCTCGCAGACTGCGTCGGTCTCGCGAAGTGCCATGTTGTGCGAAGGGGGTGCGATATCGGATACACAAAAACCAGCCTGAAAATTCCTTCGGAATTGGAGGTGGCGCTTGCCGGACTCACGCAGGAGTCGGTAGTGTGCCGGGTGTGAGTCAAAGGGGGGGGGTTGGTCGGGCCAGGGGGGTGTGTCTAGGTGACTCGGGTCCAAGGATGGCCCGTTGATGGGGGGGATCTGTACGACGCGCCACACCGGCACAAACGTCGTGTTAGATGACACGCCACACCGGCACAAATGTCATCCCGAGGGGTGGAGCTGTCCCGTAGGACCAACTCCCTGCGGTGTGAAGGTGACCGGGGTCGGCCAGTTTGTCATCAGGGATCCGACCCGAAGAAACCGAGGGTAATCCACAGGGGATCCGAAGTGGGGTGAAAGACCGGTCGGGTTCGGGGCAGGCGAGTGGGGATTGGTCACCGCAGTATGGGCCTCAGCAGTGGGTCGGTTTGTCAAGGGGTATCCTCTCGAATCAAACAGGGGGGACGAAGAGGGTCGACCCGGGCTCGAGGCTCTCAGCGCTTTTGCGCGGTCCGAAGATGGATCTCTCTTCGGGAAAAGGGGGCCTCAGGCGGTCGCCTAGGCATGGGTGTCACCTGTGCGGTATGAGGGTCATCGCCCTATTGCTGGCCCACCATCGCACGGGACATGGACTTGGTGGGTTAACTTAGGGTGGCGGGTTTGGAGACTCCTCGGTGCCGCCTGGTCAGTAGCGGGAGTCCTGGCTCTGCTCAGTCTTAGAGCTCCCGGTTGAAGCGCAGGTGTCCGTCGGGGCCGAGCAGGATGCCCTCGATGGTCGCCATGGTGCGTTGTTCGGGGGTCAGGAAATTGGAAATTGTCTCAATGATGGTCTCCCCGAAGGTGATTGCCATGTTGTCCACAAAAGGGTCTCGCCGGGAGGCGCGACAGAGCTGCCTCCCGAAGGTAAGCCAGGAACAGGTCAGTTGTTGTAGCATGTGCTGCCGGTTGGCGCTGTTGAGCAGCTGGAGTTGTTGGTGAACGTGTTGCTGGATAATCCAGCGCAGCAGGCTCCTGAGAGGTGTGACCTGCGTAGTTGGTTCCACGGGTACAAGAAAAAGGCCCCCGAAGTCATTGCCGTACACATTGGTGGGGGTGCGCGAGAAGATGCCGTAGTTGGTCAGGTGCCATTGCAAGCCGATGTGGTCGAGGACGGAGGGGAATTCCGGTAGCAGTTCCGGATTGATCAGGAAGGTGGCATCTTCGTGTACCCGCGCGCGGATGTGTCCGGCCCGCTGGGTTGACAGCAGGCCTTGTGTGCTGTCGTCACGGTCGATGCCTGGCGGCTGGAGCCACTGGACTAAGTCGTGATGTTGGTTGGATGGTGTGGGGGGTGCCGCCTTGGATGGTGTGGTGGGTTGCGGGCGTGGTGAAGGCATGTGGTGCGGGACGGGCCCGGTCGATGTGGTGGTCGCCTCCGGGAATCGGGCCTGTCTGGGAGTGTCGCGAGCCGTGGGTGTCGCGAAGTTGACGGTCCGCGGTGGTGTCATAGCTCGGGAGTATCCCGGTTGTGTGGAGCGGCCTCGCTGCTGTCGGGGGGTGTTGTTCCGTTGGCGAGACGGGTTCAATGTGCTTGGCGGGCCACGTGGTACCGCGTATGGCATCTGGTAGGTGCACGGATCGGGGTACCGAACGTTCATGTGGTGAATGGGCGTGTTCCACTCGCCGTGAAGGTGGTCGCGGAGGATTTCAAAGGCCTCCCGCCTGGACACGAAGCGCCATTCACGGTGGGCTGTGTCATAGTGGATGCCCACGCCGGTGTTGGGTCTGGCATGGTGCACGAAGCGCAGCCAGGCAAGAAGGTCACCATGCAGGACTGAGTCGCTGTGAACATGGCGGCATTCGGCACCACTGTCGCAAAAGCCTTCTGGATGCCGGGCCTGTTGTCGAAGATGTCGGTAACAGATGTTGTCTCGCGGCATCCAACGCGCATCAACGAACTCCGGATGCAAAAAGGCGCACTGGTGGGCAGAGGCAGGTGCACGTCCCCTGCAGCCGGAATGGTTGATGAACTGGTTGCAGACCTGATTGCCCTGCAAGATGTTGCCCGGACCGACCGCCTCGGGCAGGATCGAAAGATGGTCCTGAAGGGCCCGGTACAGTCGTTCATAATCCGGGTCGAGCTCGGTCATTTCCATGAGCTGGTACTCCTCCACGATGGATGCGAAATTCGCTGGAGCAGTCATGGCGGTCGAGCAGGCAGGGCAGGTAGGTCGGAAAGAAAAGAAAAATTTGGCTAATTCGCCAAAATGGCGAACGGAGCATGAATCAAGCAGTGTCATCCTGCAGGCACTCAAGGTTCGAATCTGAGTGTGATTCAAATGCCTTCCGCTATCGGTTGTTACTTTTAACACAAGTGTTAACCGCAACAAAAGCAAACAGCCCAGTTCCCCGCCCGCATGCTGGAAGTTGCTGCCATGGCCGCTTGCACGCACGCTTCGAGTTAGCAAGCTTCGGCACGGATCCAACACCACCTCTTTTACTCATCCCTCTGTGCAAGCATTGATCGATTCAAAGTCCAGCTCAGCACAGGCCGCACCAAGTCCCCGAGACTTTGTGGGTCTCTAAATTGTACAAAGCTTCCGGACAGAGGCGGCGAGCTTGAAGCAACCCGTCTTCAGGCATTCCCTAGCGCAGGCTTGCATGTTTTGGTCAGGGGGCAATGCCGAACCAAAGCCTGGCAAGTGCGAGTTGAAGATTGAGCCAAGCAATTTGCCGCTCTGCTTCATGCCCCTCCTCGTGTAGCCTGTCTTCGTTTCTCCGCAGCCGGACACCGTCTTCACAACCAAGCACAAGGACTTTGCCTTGCTTCAAAGCCAACGTCTTCTGGCTAAGCACCTCTCTTTGAAACGATGCTGTACGCGGGCCAGGCCCGCGCATAAAGCAAAGTTGGCAAAGCAATGGTCATCCAGCAGTTTTTGCCGCGACCTTAACTTCATAGTGCTTCCCATCAGCTTACTTGGGTTCGCCCCGATGATAACTCGAGCCTCGCCTGCCAGCAGCAGCACTGACACAGCACCCACAGCTGGCTGCGCCTAATCTCCTGAGCTCGGTATATCTGCTCCACCAGCACCACGCGAGCCAACCTGCGCAGCAAGCAGTTTGGCTCCCCAGCCCCAAGCCTCACGGAACAAAGGCCAAGCTCAGAAGAGGGGGGCCTCCTTTATCACAGGGATTCCACCCCTTCTATTCACAGGGCGGGCAGGGGGATCACAACCTCAGTCGGCGTGTTCACGCAAAAGAAACGCTTGCAGCACCTGCCCCTAGTTGGCGAAAACCTTGCAATGCGGAACCATTTGCATGTCTTGATCTGACAGGTGTCAAGCAGCGTGCCGTGAGAAACATGCGCAAGAGCCGGCGCCTGTGCGGCAGCCTTAGCTTCACACAGACGGCACACACACAGGCAAAGAAATCATTCTTCCAGAGCAACAGCGCAAACCTTTTTGACCATTTCAACAAAAAACTGGAAAGTGATTTTCTGTGACACACGTTGCCAACATGTTGGACCTCAGGTGTCGGTGTCAGCAACTCCTGCAGCTAAGCGGGTCTGAGTCCTGCTCGTGAGACGGCCCAAGGACAGCAACTGCCGCATGCGCCCCTGCGCGTGCTGCGCAAAGAAGCACCAAGCTTCAAACCTTCACTTGGCTGCCTTTACAGCGTCCACTACCATGATCCCCCGTTGTGCAAGGAAGCATTTACAATTGGTTTGCCGCACCTCTTTCTTCAGCTGTGCTTTCTGCACTTGGCGAAGCTCATCCGGCCTCGTCTGCACAAGCTTCGCTCCAAAGCTTCAGCTACGTCCGCCTCCATCCCAAGGGCCCTGCAAACCATCGGCGCCGCCAATCACGAATCCAAGCCGCGCCCCTCCGGCCTCAGTGCCGGTTCGAGAACCGCCCGTCTGGAAGCCTTGCAACTTGAACGCATTGCCTGGAGGCTATCGAAAAGCAGATCCGTGAATTCCTCGGTGGGAAGTTTCACAAAGGCTGGCGCCCACGTGTGCAAGTCGCTGGGGCTCAAACCTCCGAGTTCACAAATGCGCCACGCTCATCCAGGACCTATGAGCCACGAGCAAGCCAACATTTTGGGATGAGGCCAGGTTCCGGCCAAGAGGGGATGCTGCACCTTGCCCAGGGCACGCATCAGCTGCCCATCGCTTTTGTGGCAAACGGTCTCCACCTCAAATCGTCGCTGCGAGGCTGAGGGGCGCTCACGTAAGTCCTCGCCTCCACTGCAGGCGTCCTACCCCTCAGGCGCTTGGCCTTGCGTGGTGCGTCCCCGAAAATGCACCCGGACCGTCGATTCCGATGGAGTTTGTTTTGTTAAAGCTGTCAACGCTGGCGATGGGTCACAAGCGGCAAAACGATGGTCCCAGTTGTGCTGGGGGAATTTCTGTGCGGCTGGCGTAATTCTCCGCCGCGGCATCCTCCCAGCCTCACGCGGGGAGGTGAGAGCACCGCAGGCTTGCGCTTCTCAAGTTGCAGTGTGGAAGCCTCCGGCAGACGACCTTGCTGCATGTCTCAACTCCCCCCAAGATGGTTGCTCGGATTGGTGATGTGGACATTGCAACTGGCCTTGCTTTGCCCCTCAGTGTCAACCAAACGAGGGGCCCAAACGAAACCCAAAACCACCAACCCAAGCCCTTAGCCATCTGGGCACCCTGCTTGCCCACCTCGGAATGCCCATTGCTTCACAACGAGTTCAATGCACACGTTACAATGTAGGCAGCGGGCCATGTGCACAAAGACCTTGAAGCCGCGGCAAGCGGCCGAGCCAAGGGCAAACCTGCGGGTCAAAAGGGGTTGCTACAGCAAAACCAACTAAAATTAAGGACCTCTATGGAAAAGCCTTACTCCTGGGTCCGACCTTTGTACTCGGCTTGGATTAGCTTGGGCTCCATGCATACATTGCACCGGAAGGCTTGGAAGATTGATTCACATAAAACCCGCTTCATCAGGAAGTGTGTTGGATCCAAAATGACGGGTCACCGAAACAAGTTTTAACAGTCGTCAAAGCCAGTGGGAAAAAGCAGCTTCCCTTAAAACCGCAAGTGCGCTACCCATATCAGGAAGCAAAAAGGCATCTCCAGCGGCAACGCCACCGCCTCCAAAAGGCCATGTGCCAAAAAGGGGTCCCAAAAGGTTGAAGGGGGTGATCCACCACGGCCACCCGCTGAAGGATTTGGCAACCCCACCCAGTTTTTCACAGAGACCTACAAGGAGCGCTGCTCTCAGCCCTCCCCACTTGACGGGCGGTGCAGGCCTTCCCACGACAGCCCAGGCGCCAAGGACAAAGCTGCTACAGCTTGCCCCCTGCGGTGACCGGGCTCGAGCGTAGATTTTCACAAAATGTGCGTTGCTTGCGCGTGGCTTCCTTGCTTGTTTCATGAGCTAAGGCCAGGTGTTCCACGGAAGCATTGTCTGCTTTGGTCATCTTTTCTGCGGCACAGGTCATTGACAGAAGGCACTTTTGGGTGCAACGGAGGCGCCCCGACAGGCAGTTTTCAGAGGCTCCTCCATTCAGGAGTTGTAGAGGCTCTCGTAAAGGCATTCGAAGTGGATCTGCGCCTGCATCTGCGCGCCCTCCAGGTGCTCCCGGAAAGGGTGCCTTGGACCAAACTTGAGACACAAACAAAAACACGTATCTGCCGACTGGTTCCTGCGCTATCGCTCTTTCTCTGCCCGTGAAGAATAAGGCGGGCACGGCTGGTTGGGATTCCTCGATCGATGCAAGACCTCGATGATCCTTTGAATTGGCACTTGGGTGCGCCCCAAGAAGTAATGATGAAGATGCTCGTCACCCCGGGGATTTGCCAGGTCCATCACCTAGGTTGTCTCCAAGGCTAGTCTACAAAATCCACCATCCACGCAAGGACCCGCTCTTCCAAACTCATGTTGGCCATTTTCCCTTTGAAAGCGCCACAAATACAGGTACCCTAACTATCAAGCCCACCTCCATCTCCAGTACATCGGTCAAGGAGTGCACTTCAAAGGTCATGGCGGGGGAGTTCCACTGCGGATCTCTTTCCCTGGCCGCCGTTGCAGTGACCTTCTCCTGCCTGTGCACCCGCACTTTGACCGCCGGGCTGGGCGTCCCCTGCAGCCCTGAGCCCGCGCTGTACGCCTCAGTCGGGAAACCTGGGGCTGGTGCCTGGTGTTGGCGGCTTGGCGGGAATGGCCAAGCGCCAGAATGTGGGGAAACCAACGCGCGACTTCCGGTCATTGAAGGTCCCTCTGAAAGCAGTCATGAGACATGAGACCATTTAGACGGAATTTGGCAGGATGGGCATCCATTGGATGACTGTAATGGCAAGGGCTGACACGAACCAAGTCCCGTCTTGAAGGACAGCTACCCATTCCATGGCCCATGCAAAACCTGTTGAACCAACCCTCGCAAACCAATCATTGTAAAAAATGCGAGGGCACATGACTGAGCCCTGGGTCTAGACTTCAAACATCGCAGGACAAGCGTCATCTGTGACCCTAAACAAAGGCACAAAAAAAGCGTCATCTGCATCCCGAATAGCCGGGACCTTTACAGAAGGCGTGCAAACAAGGGACGCCTTGTTTTTTGTGGTATGGGCCGGACTCAGTGGGCAGTCGGACCCGCACAAAGAAATCGAAGTTTCAGGACAACGTCAAATCTGTCAACTTGTGTGAAACCAAAAAAGGCTCTGCCATTACTTTTATGTGAGCCACAGGCCTGCCATCAAATGTCCGCTTTTTCTCGAATTCCAAACCTTTGACTTGCCAGAAACGAAACGCCGGCCCCATCTAAAGCTTTCAATTTGCATGAAACCAACCCCCTCCCAACAAAAAGGAAGAAGAAAGAAACAAAAGTCCTGCCGTAAAAATAAAAAAAATCAAGCCATGCCTGCGCTCACTTGGAGGGAAAGGAAAAAAGAAGAACAACATCTCCGAGGCGCCAGGCTGGTGGCCTTGTTGACCCAGAGGGTCAGCACCCCGATGCCCCGGCCCGTGACCCCCGCCAACTCCGGAGAGCCCTCCGCGAAGGAGGGCAGCCGCGCCAGGCGCGCCTGCTGCAGCGGCCGCTGCCGCGCGGTGGGGGACTCCTCCGCGTCCCCGCGGCCTCGGGGATGGGGACTTCAGGGTGGGGGGGGGAGTTCAGGGTGGGGGGGGTAGGTTGTGAGGGGTTTGGGGTGAGGGGTTTGGGGTGGGGGGGTGAAGGGTGGGGGGTGGGGGGGTTGGACGGAGGGAGTTGGAGGGAGTTGGAGGGAGTTGGAGGGAGTTGGAGGGAGTTGGAGGGAGTTGGAGGGTTGCAGAGTTGGAGGGAGTTGGAGGGTTGGAGGGTTGGAGGTTGGAGGGGGGAGGGAGGGTTGGGGGGCATGTTGGGAAAAGAAATGAAGCCGGGCTTGCAGAAAGGGGGTCTAAGGTCCAGAAAAGAGGGGTTCCCGAAAAGGTTGAACCTAAGAGGGGGTGGAATCTACGAGCTCTAGGAACACAGCTGGAATCTAGATCCCACGTATTAAGTTGCTAAATTTGTGCACCGCTTTGCTTGCCCTCTCTAAAGCGAAGTAATGGCCACCACTGGGGCGCCCGGGCCGCATTGATTGGTGGTTTGGGCCTGAGGGGAGGTCTGCTCACCTGATATCAATGACGGCTGGGGTCCCACAGCTGCCCAATTAGATTGTGCTGACAATGGTTTTGCATGGGGCGCATTAAAAACTGACTCAAATGACTCATACAAGTTCAACAGCTACAGTAGCATCCTCTTTGATCACCAAGCTTCCTGGAAGCCATCCAAAGAAGGCATCCTCCTTCCAGTCCTTCTCCGGAGCCCGGCTGGCTCCACTGGCTCGGCTCGATTGCCGCTCGCGCGGCTCCCGGCGGGCCAGCTGCCCCGGGCCCATGGACACGTACTCCCGGCCGTCGTTGAAGCGCCGCGCCGGCGCCTCCGAGAAGGACGGCAGCGACAGGAGGTGCCGAGCCGCCTGCGTTGGCGCACGGCGCACGGCGCACGGCGCACCCCAAAACGTTTAAGAAAAAAAACCGGGCTGTGGCCACCTAAAGCTTTGTCATATCAAGTTGTGGTGTTCATCCGGAACAGCTGCAACCAAACAAGAACCGGAAATCAACTCCAGGTCTAAATCTTTACCTTGCACCTTTCGGGACACCAGAAGCAGGCATCACAAACACCTCGCAGAGTGACTCAGGTTGCCATGGACCAACCCATTCGCAAATGATGCTTTCGGCGTTGGGCAACCCGCCTTGGCTTCCTGGAGTTGTTCGATGTTGGTCTCATTGGCCAAGGCCCCTGTCTGGCGCCACCCGTGGAAAGGATCCTGGGTCACTCGCTTCCCCAAGATGTCAAGCTTCAGCCGCTGGGACCAAAGACCAAACCAAAACAAAAGCGGGATCAAGGCTAGAGCCCAAACCCTAACAGTGAAGCCAGACCAAAAACAAGTCGACACCAAGGATCGCTCTTCCAGGATTCGGACGTCTCCTCATCCCCCCGGGGCACATCCCTGTGCTCCGCTCGGTTCAGCTCGCGTCGCCACTCGGAGAAGGGATCATCCTTCCACTGCCTCTTATCGACCACCTGCTGTCTGGGGTAGTATGGCGCCGGGCCCGAATAATCCTGAGTGGGATGCAAACATCAGTTGGAAAGTGGGCGAGCACGCACACACACACACACACATAAATATATATATATATATATAGTGTATCTAAGTATATACAATATTTATGCATATGTTTATACGGATAATGCATATGTTGCATATGCTTCTGTGTTGAACATGTAGGTGTGACATAAGCCTCCCGGTGGACTCAACACCGAAACCGCGCGTGGTTTCCATCCTGGCCAGCCGTCCACCTCATGCGCAATTGCTAGGTGACGTCTTGGGGTGTGGCATGCGCGCTTCTGATCGAAACGAAAGCCCAAGGAGTCGTAGAGTTCTGCGCTCGGGCGATTTCCTTGCCTGATCCCACTGAAACTGGTCCTTCATTTGCTCGTGCCCCTTGCACCAGGCAAGGATCAGAACAACGACACCGCCTACTTGTGCTAGCAGCCACGGGGCGTCCCGGGGCTAAAAGGCAAGCAGTCTCTTGCAGCAAGCCAGGAAGTACCCCTACTCCAAATCACTGCTGTTCTTTAAGCATGTCTACACAAACCAGGTGTTCCAAAGAAAAAGCAAAGTGGGTTGACATGATACTATTCAAACAACTGGGGATCTTCCTGGTAGTTTAATCCCCTGAGTGGATGCTTTATTTGTCACACGGGCAGACGCATGCAGGAGTCCGGCGGATCCAAAAAAGTCAAGGCGCGCCTGTTGTGCGAGCCTGCTGGGGTTCACTTGGTGCGCCTGTTGCGGCTCTACCGGGCACTTGGCCTGCATGGGTTCACTGGGCTGTGGGTGCTATGGCGAGGTGTGCATGTGTGTTATACATGTGCATAACGTCTTCCCCTGTATTTTAAACACACACACACACACCAAAAAAAAACACAAAAAGAAGCACGCTTTTAAACGCGTCACGCCAAGCTGCATACTGGCCAAGGCGGCATGCCTCATGGCACCGGCTGGGTAATATGCAACGCAAGCTTCTTGCGCGAAGTGCGGCAAAGCGGCTCCGGACTCATATTCGTTGAGCCGCCGGGCCTGACATTCTCGGCAAGTGGGGAAGCCCGCTTGAATATGCTTGGGAAGGCCGTAGCTCCCTCACATGGCTGGTCCCTGGGATTCATGAGGTCATGACCTAGCGCTTACACCCTGCTGCTCAGCGGCAACTCAGGAAATAAAACTACTGCTAAGTCTTCATGGCCGCAAGAATGGCCGCCCTCCTGACTGCACACCCCTGACAACACAGGGGTAAACACATTTGGCAAAGAAGCAAGCCCAAACCAAAGGGCTGAAACGGCGCCCGGCCTCGCCCACCTCCGCCACTTTCACCTGGTAATCTGGGCGCGCCACCGCTTCCGGGCCGAAGCCTCGAACGATCCCGACCCGCCAGGCGGGGGGGGGTGACATCTTGCCAATTTTTGACTGGAGTCAGATCCATATGTTTTTCTCCTAAAGCGCGGGTCTTTCTTAAAATATCAAAGCCTGGAGTTGGGTAGTTTTGTTCTTTGAGCGCTGATGGCTGCTCTCTCCAGATCACGCGGTTCCGGTGAACATGTCCCTCCTGGCCTTTGAAGGATGGCAGCGGCACCTGCAGCAGCGTTCCGAGGCGAATGGAAGTACTCATTGACATGCTCAAGCATAAGGGTGTCTTTTGCTTGGGGGAATCTGAGGCAACCAAAAATAATAAACAAAACCCATATTGTTTTGTGGGGAGGGAGTTACCTTGTGTTG